AAATATGAGTATGCTTGGTACCAAGCACAAATTTTATGCTTGGTAGTGATGTGTCACATCCTCATCCACTCATTAACCATGTGAATGTGGTCCCATATTTGAATGAGTGAAGGGAGATGTGACACCTCACTACCAAGCATAACTTTTTGTGCTTGGTACCAAGCATACCCATATTATTTGTCTAGTGTTTGTGTTTTCTTATTCATTATAACAAACAATATGTTGGAGGAGGGATGTAATCGTGCATTCACGATCATATCACTTGGAGGTTGGCGAAAATAGTGGAATGAAGCAAAGCAATACAATTCAAGTTAAAGATCCAAGTTCAACCTTCATCCACAAGTTTACCAAAGAGAGCTTATCGAAGACCTTCAAGCTTGGGTATATAGTTTATAGTGTTTATAGTATAGGTTTATACTTGTGTGTTAGTACTTTAAGCTCAATCATATGCACACACATTCACACACACACACACACACGTACATGTTTTGGTTTTATAGTTTAATAGTTTATATAAATATGAAACCTATATTATTATTTAAATATATATACATGTTTCATGTTTATTATTTTGTTAAATGCATATTGTGCAAAACTTTATTTTTGCATAATTTTGAGTTTTTGGTTTATAGACTTAACAACAATAGTTTGTATCTTTTATCAAGTCTATAAAATCAGTTTATAAAGTTTTCAAAACATGGTTTAGACAAAATGACAAAACAAGTATTGTTGTATTTTCATGTTTTGGACTTGTTTTGAAAAATGATGAGTTTTTACTATTGAGAAGCGCAATTTCAAAAATTCTTGTTGTAACATGTTCATTTACATGCTTACAATGATTTTCCAAAGTTTTATATTTTTCAGAATTTATTTGTTATTTTTAAAGGCACTTTAAAAATTAGTTTTACTATTCAAATCAGGCTGATACAGTGTTATCAGTCGACTGATGAATGTGTTCAGTCGACTAAAGAAAACGCCTGGAATAACAAAAAAAATCGGTTTTATTTTGGTCGGCTGACCAGTCGACTGATGAGGTCATTAGTCGACTGATAAGGTCCGTCAGTCGACTAATGAGCTGGAAAATGCCTCTAACGGTCAGCTCATCAGTCAACTGATGAAAGCCGTCAGTCGACTGATGCTGTAACGGCTAGTTTTTTTAGCCTTTGTTTTGTTTTGGTTTTTTGGTCCTTTTGCTGGGCTTTCTTGATCTTTGGGGTTCCCTATATATACATCCTCATACCCAGCTCTGTTTTGTAGTTAAGAAAATTGTTTATACAAGTTTACAAAAGTTTAACAAGGGTTTAAGTTTGTTATAGTTTTGGTTTCAAGTTTGTGAAGCAACTTTCACAAGAGCAAAGAGGAGATCATCCTTTGGTGTTTGAGCATTCACTCTTCTTCCTCTCTCTTGTTATCTATAGAGAAGTTTCCTTAAACTCAATTCTAGCTATTTTATTGTTTTGATTCTAATTTCCATAAGCTAGATTTTATTATTGAGTTTAATTATTTTATTGATACTCTTTGTTTACACACACAACCATTAAGCTTATTGTATTTTCATATATTATATAATTTGGGTTATGGGGCTTGTGTGACATTGAGTGTGAGCTTAATTGTGTTCTCATCTATTGTAGAGAACAAATTTATATTTATGAGCTTCATTGTGAGTTGCACATTGTATTACACTTAGACACCGAGAGAAGTGGTTGGTGAGAGACAAGGTCGGTTCCAAGAGGAGTGGGGTCGGTAGTAAAGCCTAGTGAGAGGTGGTAATTCCGAATACTTGAGGTGACACGGGTTAGGCCAACACTTAGAGGGTGTGAAGTGTAATTGCAAGTGTGTAAGTGTAACGCCCCGCCCCGGAATCCCGCAGTCGGTACGCTATTAGATCTGATAGACTGACCTCACAAACCACCATATGTCTTTTCAGCACGTTTTGTCCTCACTCACGCGCTCCGTGGAAAACTTCCCAGGAGGTCACCCATCCTAGAATTTCTCCAGGCCAAGCACGCTTAACTTTGGAGTTTCTAAGAGTTGGGTTCCCGAAAAGAAGATGCATCTTGGTGGTATGAGTATTCCAATCAAATCTATCAATACTAATCACATCACCCTCTCAAGGGTTGGGGTATTACAATCTCCCCCACTTAAACTCGCAACGTCCTCGTTGCGCCAAATCATATCATCCAAGACCGTACCATCCGTGTGAGATTCTAGAGGTGGCTCCTACGGCCTCAAGAGGTGGCTCTCGTCCTCTCGACGTAGCACTTTGCGCCGCATAGTACTTAGCTCTCACAATTCCGGTTGGCTTTGCTCTGATACCATTTGTAACGCCCCGCCCCGGAATCTCGGAGTCGGTACGCTATTAGATCTGATGGACTGATCTCACAAACCACCACATGTCTTTTCAGCACATTTTATCCTCACTCATGCGCTCCGTGGAAAACTTCCCAGGGGGTCACCCATCCTAGAATTTCTCCAGGCCAAACACGCTTAACTTTGGAGTTTCTAAGAGTTAGGTTCCCAAAAAGAAGATGCATCTTGGTGGTATGAGTATTCCAATCAAATCTATCAATATTAACCACATCACCCTCTCAAGGGTTGGGGTATTACAGTAAGTTATAAAGTTTTCGGTGAACTAGAAAACCGATTGTTGTATTGAGCCTAATTGTGAGGATTCACTTTGTATTATACTAGTATACCAAGAGGAGTGTGTGGTGAGAGACGGTGTCGTCCCAAGAGGAGTGAGGTAGGTGGTAATGCCTAGAGAGAGGTTGTAATTCTTAACACTTGAGGGAGACACGTGCTAGAGACAAACACTTGAGGTGATAGTTAGTGTAGTTACATTGTAAGAGATTGTAAAGTTTTTGGTGAGCTAGAAAACCGAGTGTGAGGACATTTTCGGGTGATCGTTGAAAACCCGATGTGATAGTGGATTTCTTCCCGGGAGTCGGGAGCAGAAATGTAGGACGAAAGGTCCGAACTCTGTGATCATACTATGTGTTTGTATTGTTTATTTGTGCACTATCACTCTTGTTTGGTTATTGTTTATTTTACCATTGTGTTAGTTTATATATCCTTGCTCATATCTTTTTGAATATCATTCTTGCTAGGATATTTATTAGTTAGTTTTTAATTTGGTATAAATCAGATTAGATTAGCATAAACCCTATTCACCACCTTCTAGGGTTCCTTCCTAGTAGCATTAGGGTGCTTTTAATTTGGACTAAGATCGATTAGGGAAGAGGATGAGCAGCTTATTGCAGTTTTGTATCTTCAAGTTAGCATAGTGAGCCAAGCTCTTATCTTTGCCACTCGAGTAAAGAGCTGGTCCTATGTTGAGCGCCCCTGTCTTTTTATGATTTCTATCATATTATGATCTTTTATTTAATTGTGCGGGTGGCTACAATACTTGCAGCATATGCACATTGGGGCTTTGCTCGCGTCTAAGTTTGTGGATGGGACGTGCATGAGTCATATGGCTCTATAGCACTGTCTTCTACATTCCACTTGATATCTTTAAGTTCATGATCTGCTACAGTCATAGGCACTAAACTCGTCACCAAAAGACCTAGTTTACGGTTTTGAGCATAAGAAAAATAAGTAAGATCAAAACAGAGAGCTAAATAGGTGATCTTCATCATGAAAGTGCAAACAATAGGAAACGTTAATTCAATTACTTTTAAGTTCACATCTAAATATAAGTCATCCAAGTTGAAAGTTCATGTAATCATTCCATATACAGTCATCCAGTCCAAAACATCTATGTAATCATTCCATATAAAGTTGTAAATTCTAGGCTATCAAATAAAACTTCCAGTCCAAAAGATTTTCACCCTCTCCAAGTATATACAATAAAAACAAAATGATGTGTCCTGAGTTATCTTGCTCATAAAGACTCAGAAAAACTAATGATTCTATGTGTGAATATATGAGAAGACATGCCACAAGACATATAAGAAGACATGCCATAATGAAATGTGAAGTGGTCTAACTCCAAAGATATGCTGTTTGAAGCAACAAAGGTGGCTCAACACAACATCTAATAAAAGATGAAACTTAGTCGTGTTCTCTTAATATACCAGGTCAAGGTCAGCAGGAGAAGGTGGAGGCACAAAAATAAAGAAGACCAAAAGAAAAGTAGGAGATTGCAATCATAGAAGACCCTATTTTAGATATGTAAATCACTGAAAGGTAATCATACCGAAACTCTTCAATATATGAAGAAAGAAGCTCATCATCAGTTGCAGCTCTCACCTTTGTAGAAACCTAAACAAATTCCAAAACTCAAAGTAAATGACAACAACAAATATAACATATTATACCAATGGTAATTAAAGTGAATCAATGCATAGTAAGGAAGTGCTATAGAATGTCAATTTGGGTATCCAGTCAAGATTACTACGATGATGATACAAATAAAAAATAAAAAAATCTTTTGATTGAAACAAATCTTAATACATAGTTGTATAAGCTTGAACTTTGACTTAGGAATTATTTGCTATGAAGTTATTCAACGCAAAGCAACCATGCAATGTAGACATCCAGTTGAAACCTTTACAGACTAAATTGTGATTATCAATATAAAGCCGATACAACATTGAAATATTGAGCTGAGAAAATGCTATTGAGGCTAATACACAAAGACGAGAGATTACTTGCTTGACATGATCCACTGTAGCAATCTTGGACAGTCCTGGGACCCAAGTAGTTGCACTGATCAACTTCCCCAAACGTCGAAATGATTATCTTTAACCACCCAAAAATAGAAAAACATCATTGCATTAATTAATTAATGAACTCAAGAGTCAATACATAATACTGAAATTCTCTCCTTAAATAATTAATAGTAACCATAGCATATAAATATCTCCCAAACAACAACCTTGATTCCAATTTCAAAAATTCTTCAAAATTGCACGAATTAATCTCAGATCAAAAACACAATGCAACTCTAAGAGAGAGAAGAACTCACGATCGGACAACTCCAGAGTAATGAGATGCGCTTTGTTATACGCAGGGAACGCTTCCTCTGCTGCCGCCATTTCATAGATTTCATCGTCTCCAAGAATCGATAGTGGATTTTGCCGGCGGGGGGCGTTAGCAAGGAACCACTTGGCGATCTCCTTCTTCTGCTTCTCTCCGATCTCCTCCTCGCTGTCGTCCGCTATTAGAGAGAGAGAGAGAGAGAGAGAGAGAGAGAGAGAGAAGAAAGGGGGAGACCTAAACCCTAGATCCGATCTAGGGTTTCGACGAGAGAGGAGAAGGAGAGAGAGGAGAGATACATGCGTTAAGAGAGAGAGATTTGGAATCGGGGCTGAGAAATGAGAGATGAGTCAGGATCGGGGCTAAGAAATGAAAGAGAGGAGGAGTCGGGTCGGGATTTGGTAAATTCCAAGGGGTAGGGTGAGATTTCAAATATTTGTATTTAGGCTTTCAAATTCTCCTCTCTAAAATAATCTGATTTGAAATTTCAGTCCAATTTAAAGTCCAAACTAGAGATTTGGATTTGAAATATCATGAATTTTGAATCCAAGAGCCAAATCCAAGTTGACAAACACATCCTTAACATATTTGATGCTGCATAGGAAACGAAACGAATTGAAACCCATTCATTTAGATCCCTGCTAACTGGAAGCATGGAGCTCGTGCGAACACTTCGGAGCTTGATTGATGATGATGTCACGATATATATGTGTCGAGGGGGAGGAATTAATTATCCGCCACATGTTGACCACCGGATCGCAGGTTCGCTGTCACCACGACA